AAAAAAAAAAAAAAAAAAAAGCTAAGAATGTAGAATAGAAGATAGGACAATCAGAGAATGGGGGGGGGTTCTTTTAAACTTTAATGTGGCTGTTGACCAGATGTAGCACACTGTGCAAAGATCATATGGATTCTTTACCAAAAGCGAAGCCTTGGGGCTGACCCCAAGCTTGGCTATTGTTGAAGAACTCTGCAGAAGAGGCAACAACTCCACGGATCTTCAGGATGACTCTCAAAAGCACACGGCGGGAGTTCCTCCACACCCTCCGTTAACAACGCGCTAGTATTCACACACGCTCGTTTCGAGTCTGTTAGCATCTTCTCTGTCCATCTAACAAACTAAAGAAACATCAAGGCAGGTGTCTCCCTCTTCTCCCCCCCCGCCCCATAAGGTGGAAGCCAACTAGTTTTCCTGCCACCCACAAAATCAAAGCACTCCGTAGAGCCCTAAGGTGGGAAGTGGGAATATTTGCAGCTGGGGAGATGAACATTTTGAACAACCTTGGACCGCGACTCCCATGCTTCTGAGCCAGGGCTGATGCAAGGTGGAATCCGTCCCATCTGACTGCACCAAGTCCAGGAAGGGTGGCTTTGAATCTTCTGCAGTCTCCAGAGCACCAGCACCACGAAAAGATGGCCTCAAGTGTATGAATCGGGGTAAGATTTATTTGGGGATATTGGGTTAAAAATGGCGTTCCACCCATGATAGATGCCACAACCAAGAAGGGCAAAAGTGACCTGGGAACGTGGGCCCTTCCTTCACGAATCAAAGGTTTTCTGATCCATATTCCACAACCAAAATACTTGAGAATGAATACAAGGATGCTAGTTTATTCCCACCCCATGAACTTAAGCAGCGGGGCCCTGAGAGGAGAATTACGCACTGTAAAATCAAAACTGCCCCTTAGCTCATCTGTTTAATTTATTCTCTTTTTCTTTTAATGAGAAAACGCCAACTACCTGCTCCTTCGACAAGTGGGGTTTGGTGGATTTCATGAAGGAGATGAACACCAAATCAAGAGCATCTGTTCTGCATCTTTCTGGGGGGGAAAAGCAGCTAATACAGATTCCTTTGTATTGAACTTTACTGTCAGAAGTTGCAGCAGGTCCGCCTGCCAGATCTGGTGGGCAAACTCCTAGCTGACCACTAGATGGCACCACAGCGATGCAGACACTTTGCTGCCACCCGATGGTCATCTGGAGATCTGGTAGCTCAATATATGATTAATCACCATTGTTAAGGAGTACAGTACTTGGCCTCTGGACATGAACTGCTGTTTTGAGGGCCAGTGATTGGGGGGTGGGATTTACTTCTGAGGCTGAAAACCATTTTTTGCATGGCAATTAACACCCCTGCAAAAATCCAGACAGCAGCCGCCTCTCCTGGCACCTGGGAATACCCCAAGCTCACCTCCTACGTCAGCAAGGGCTTGCCCGGTTTCTGCCACTTGCCTTCTCAGCGGCCAGAAAAGGAGCTCAGCTAGGGAAAGGAGTTCAAATCACCAGAAAAGGACCAGGAAAAAGGACGCCGTCTTTCCTGAGCCTCCAGCTCAAATCTGAGCATCCTTTATTTTTGATTGTTAAAACGGCGTCGCTCAGTCCTCTGCCTGCAGAGATCGTTTTAGGGCTTCTTTGGACACTGCAAAAGAAGGAAAATAAAATAAAAGAAGTTCCCCTACCCGGAAAGCAAGAAAAAAGGTCTCCCGTCACTGAGGAAGGGGGGCGTGGTTTTCCCAGCCAAAAGCCACCCAGCTCTAATTTTGTTGCTCCAGAGCAGCGTTTCTCAACCTTGGCCACTTTCAGATGGGTGGACGTCAACTCCCAGAATTCCCCAGCCAGCATGGGAAACAATGGGGAATTTTGGGCATTGAAATCCACACAACCTAAAGCATGCTGGCTGGGGAATTCTGGGAGTTGAAATCCACACATCTTAAAGCATGCTGGCTGGGGAATTCTGGGAGTTGAAGTCCACACCTCTGAAAGCTGCCAAGGTTGAGGAACAGGCTGGAGATACAGGGCACATAGTCTCTCTCAACCAATTGAAGAAAAAGCTCTTCTTTTTTTATGATCCCAACTTTTAGGCCAAGTTTGCATGCCACCCTAAGCTATTAATGTAATTCGCATGTGATGCCATTGTGGCTTCTATTTAACAACTCTCCAGCCACCGTGGTGCCTGAACCTGGCCTATCGCTGAGGGCAATGGGTCTCCCAACTTTATGACCCACTAAGCCACAACCTCAGTGATCAGGCAGTTCTAAAGGACAATTTTACAAGGAGGATCCTGCATTTTACAAGCTCTGGGCGCACTGGATGAAAACCCATGACAGTGAATTAATTGTTTCAGAGGGAAAAATACGTGGCTCACTGGCATCGTGGATAAAAAAAACCTAAACAAGACATTTCAAGCAGGGGAAGAGGTTATGGGCCACGTGTTACACTTAATCATTCTCCACCCTAAGCAAATATATATAGATATAGATATATATATACACACACATACATACACACACACACATACATACATACACACCCATGCTAAAATAATGTTTATCCCACTTCTCTTTTATTTCTGCATTTGGCTGTAAGGGACTGTGTATTTATGGGGATGTTGTACAGTTCTCAAAGTTTTTTATTGGGAATTTCGGCAGAAAAACAAGGCCCCGCGCCCCTTCCCTCCCCCTCCCACCTAAAAGGAGGTCTCCAACATGCAGCCTTCGATGCTCTACCGGCCCCCTACCCAGCCTGGCCCACAAATGGGGGCCGGGCAGACTGCAAAGCTGAGCCGAGCCCCGTCGTCCAGCAGCCCCTTTATTTCTCAGAACGACTCCGGGTGCCTTACAGGGGCCCTGAGAAAATTTCAGCGGGGGGCAGCCCCGGGCTTCGCTTCCAAGGGCGCCCACCTGCTCAGAAAGAGAAAAGTAAAGGTAATGCCAGGCTTCTCCCCGACCATAACAGGGCATGATTCAGGAACGAACGCAGATAAGCTGCTTTATGGCAGGCCCTGAATCCAGCCACCGGAGAGCGCAAAGTGCAAGGTACGCCCTTGCACACCCCCCATCCACGCGAGAAGCAAAGTTCAAATCCTGCCTTCCTTTCTCCTGCCTGAGACGACTCGCTTTGGGAAAGAATGACCCACACCGTGCCAGCCATTTTGTGAGCGTGCCTCCAAGCTCTAAACAAGCCCACCAACCCCAAGCGGCTTGGGACCCCCGCGGCACGCGGTCCCCTACCTTCCCGGGAGGCCATGGAAGCGGCGCTGACAGCCCGTCCGCCGAGGTCACTGAGGACGCTGTCCACCGTCTTGTGGTGCTTCAAGAACCAGGGCCGGATGACGTTGTGGTACAGCAGCTGGGAGCCGTTCCACGAGAAGGGCGCCATGCACCAGAGCAGGAAGACGCACTGGGAGGCAGAGGGTTGTCCACAGGGTCACGATCTGCCCGGGAATTCCCCCTGCTCCTGATCCAGCCTGCGTTGACCTGGGCTGATGCGTGGAGCCAACATCTGACCGCCACCAGCCTGCAACTGGCATCCTGAGATAGACTACTCCTGAACACGGAGGGTCCAAAGACCATCTCCACCGGTGGCTGCCCTCCGTATTTTATAGGCAGGTCCGGTAGCCCCCCAGCCCTTCCCCGGCCCCATCCTCTCTTCCCGTTTACCTTGCCGGCATAGTAAAAGGGGAACCAGTAGAGGAAGGTGTCGGAGAAGAACTCTGCCACGCTGAAAGTGCCGTACACCACCCAGTAGGTCAGCCAGATCGTGTCATCATCCTTGTCGGGGCTCTCGATTGCGCGGATACTGAAACCGAGACAGGAAGAGTCAACCGTCTGCTGCTCACGCGGGCCGGAAGGTTTGCGGCAGGAACGCGGTCTGCAGATGGGCACCTGGAGAAACGCGCCCCCCATCCCAGGCCTGCGAGAAAGGCACAATTCCCAACGCTGGCACCGTCTCCCCCACCCCTGGCTGAGGGGCCTCCCCACAGACAGGATCCCGAGAGCCTTGGGGCCCGAATCTAGATTGAAGCGTCCCCAAAGGACGGTCAGTGCGCTGACCACCCTCCTGGAAGTTAGTTCCAGTGTCCTTCCTTCTTCGCTCACCCCCAGGGACCAGGGCATTTTAAAACACACCTAGCTGACCTCAGCCGAGCCCAAAGCCGGGCAGTGGGGCTGTGCTCGGTCCCAGCTTTGATGGGGGACCCCAGGAAAGTCCCGTCGACTTGCCGTCACCAACTCCCTCGCCCTCCAGCCAGCCTTGCATTTGCCAGGCAGCTGTGTGGTGGAGAATGAAGCAGGAACGCCTGGACCCTTGCAACGAATCAAATGCCAACCCAGATGCCCGTACAAAGGGAAACAGAAACATGGCCCACTCTTCATGGGGAGACTTACGAGACGTAAGCCGGGTAGACAAAGCCGATGAGGTTGCAAAGCAGGGAGGCCCCGTATCCAAACATCAGGTAGAGTCCCACGAAGACAATGAAACCTGGACAGGGCACAACAGACATGTTTATTTCTCCCCTTGGGAGCGGAGGCCAGGGCGCATCAACCCTGACGGCAGGAAGCACAATTAGGAGTTTCCTCGCAAGCCATCGCAGTAGCGCAACGAGGCCTGGCCAGGTTTAGCCAAGTTCTTTGGGTTTAAGTTGAGATAAAGCTGTTTGGGGCAAAAGCATTCTAATTTTACTGCAGAGAAGACAAAACTGAGCAGAACTAAGAAAATATTCATTCATTCATTCATTCATTCATTCATTCATTCATTCATTCATTCATTCATTCATTCAATTTATAGAGCTGTCCATCTCACGGCAGTGACTCTGGGCAGCACACCAAAGATTAAAACCCAATAAACCCAGAAACACAATATACAAAATAAAAGACCCAAATACCGATCCAAAATAATAGCAATGAGGAGGATCCCAGGGCCTAAAAACATTCTATTTTCAATCAATAAAGACAAGAATAGTCGTCGTCTTTGCGTCTTTTTGGCTCCAGTCAAAGTCATTTTTGTTCTCCCGGGACTTCTAAGATCACCTAGGAGATGCCACTGTGATTTTTAATTGATTTGCCACTACTCTTACAGTTTTAATGTTTATTGCGCAGTTTATAAAATGCTTTTATTTATTGTTTTAACCAATTGGTTTTTTTTCTTTTTTCACCGTAAGCTGCTTTGGGATTTCTTTTAAGGAGAAGAGTTTTAAGTAAATTGAATGGTTTTAAGGAAGAGTTTTAAGTAAATGAATAAATGTCTGTTTCTCACTCCATCCCATGTATGCACAGACACCAGAGGGAGCGTGCGCATGGGCAGATGTTGAGGGGCCATGAACATGGCTGAAAAAAACAAGCTGTTTGCCTTTTTGCAGGCTAGCTGAACCAGCCTCCACGTCTGATCAGAATGTAAACCTCTTTGCAGCCTGGTGATTTAGCAATCAGGATGGATAATGAACTTAACGAACCTTGTGAAGTACGTGCAACCCTCCTGAACACAAATGTGCATGGAAAGCTAGGGTGAACTAAGGGAGCGAGTGCCAAAGAGGATCAGCGCATGACTGAGAAGCAAAACAGCCCCTTCCCCAAATTATCTTCCAAATTATCACAATATTCCATGAAGGACAGATGAAAACCAGCTGGTCAGGGCCCAACATGTTTAGGCTGCAGCATAGGAGACGAAGAGGAGCCACACAGGGGTGTGAAGCGCACAAGGGTGCATGCACAGAGCGTAAGAGCGTCTCTATGTTTCGTATTTTGTTCGCCGCTTTTGGCCTGCGCCTTCTCTCTGCAATCAAACTGCTATAAGAAAATGGATGACAACCACCTGATTACTAATTAAGACAACCTTTTTTTACATTAGTTGAGAACGCTGCATGGATCGGTGATGCGTCTCTCTGATGAGTTGGGCTGGAACTGAGAAAGGCGTCAAGGGCACAACTGTATTCAAGCCTTCATTCTATGCCATTGTTGCACGGGGTGTTGCTACCTTCCGTAGTCATGGTGTCCATGGGGGAGGAGGGGGTCTTCATGTTTCCCCCCCTCCCTAGAGATGCCTCCCATAGACCCATAGACATGGATTAATTCTGAATGGGGGGCAGGTTAATTCTGAAGGGGGACACTCAACCCCAGATCTTCTTGGGTTATCTCAACCCCCTGATGGTCTACCCCAGTGTTTCTCGACCTTGGCAGCTTGAAGATGCGTGGACTTCAAAATCATTAAACACACAGGGGCAAAGTCCAGTGCCTGGACCCTGCCAGGGCAAGGCAACCTTTATCATCCAGCAATGCGCCGTTTAAAAACTCACCAGGCAAAACTCCATTGACAAACGGTTACCTAAGCCAAGTTCCAGCAGTTTGCAAACCACTGAGCCCTGGCACTGGGCGCTCTCCAAGCATGCATTGCAGCAGGGCCAAAAGGACACACATGCGCACACACGCCCCTCCCAACTTGGGAATCCGTCCCTTCTCGTAAGGCCTGGGAACAGAGATTTCATTTTTGCCATTCACAAAACAGATATAGCGCTGTCGATTCCAACAGAACAACACTTTCCCACTTCGTTTTTCAAGCGCATGGATTTCATCAGAGGCCGTCTCCAGCAGCACAACACACCAAGTTTTACCAAAGTGTTTTTCGAATGAGACATTACCCAACTATTTCCACTGGTTAGGACAATGACCGACTTGGCTGCTAGAAGCAAATGAACAGTGAGTTTTTTGCTTGGTATCATTCAGTTCCTTCCATCAAACGCACAACACCCGTCTGATTTGGGTGAGAATTCAGTCCTTTGTTGGTTAGCGCTACCATTTCATGCCAAAAGTCTTTTCAGAACGGTGGGACTTTATTCTCTTTCCATCAAAGATGGAAGAAAAGCCCCTTTTGGATTACAATCTCTCCAGTACCTCACACAGTCATGATGCATTACAGTATATATAAAATTCTTATAGAAGTTAGCCAGCAGTTGAAGTCCACCCATCTTAAAGTTGCTGAGATAGAGAAACACTGCTCTAGATCGACGCTGCCCTTCTTGGTGCCCTCCAGACAGACTACAACTCCCATCACCCTGCATGACCCACAGCTTTGTAAACCATAGAAGTCCATCACCCCATTGCAACACCGCTTTGCTCTATGGCAAACCTGATATTCTGGTTCAGGTTTATAACCCCCCTCCCACAGCCTGCAGGCAAAGGACCAGTTGCTTTCCCAACAGCAGACTGAAAACGAGCATTTTGGAATCCAAGGACAGTTTCCAAAGTGAAGGTCTGCCAGTTTCTTAAACTTCCAGGCTCTGGGAAAAGGTCAGAGTGACCCAGCTTAATGGGAATTACTATAGGCCTGAACTCACCTAGAGGGTATTAAGTTGGGGCTGCTGGTTTATCTGGTGGCGGGAAGCGTTTGGATTCCTGCTCAACCTGCATAGCTCCTTAGTCAAGGCCAGCTGTGCATGCGGCCCTAGCCTACCTCACAGGGTTGTTGTCCCAAGTGGGAAAGGCCACTTGAAGGAGGATGGCGTGCAAGCATGCTTGAGTTACCCATCCCTGAGAAATCATACCATTTCTCTTTGAAGTGGGGAAACCGTCCAGGAAAAGAACTCCAGATCTTATTAGCGCATTGCACTGAGACCATAGAGGTCTGTTTGTGGAGTCAGTTTAGGTTCTACCTAGCCATTATGGGTTGTAAACCACGGTTTATGGGTTAGCACAATAGGGGAACCCAGCGGATATATATCTATATCTATTTACAGTGAAAAATAGCTTGATCTTCTACTAATTACAACAGGGGGAGTTTTTAGCGCCAGTTGGGCAACTAATGAGTTTACAGGCCAGTTTCTCAATGCTCCTTCTGCTTTCCTTCCCTCTGCAACCTGAGAAGACCGAGGCTGCTGAACTGCTCTGGGGATTAGCTGAAAAGCAAGGAGGGCTTTGAATATTCAACCTCATGCTGTGAACAGCAGGATTATTCTTGTGAACTGTGGATCAAGCAGATTATGGCCTCATCAAGGAGGCCCCACCTAGATTCAGATGGCAAGTTGCTTCACTGCAGGAAAAAAAAGACCGGGACAGACAAAAAAGGGTCTTTGCAAAACAGGGACTGGTGGAACTCATTGCCACAAGGTAGTTGAGAGAGAGAGGTGGGGGGGGGAGAGAGAGAGAGAGAGAGAGAGGGGCGGGGGGAGATCAGACATTCCAAGAATAGAGAACATCTGAATCTTTATTTGCAGAGGCAACTGATCTCAGGGAACAGTTTATTCTTCCTCCTCCTCCTCGTTTATGCATAAAGAAAAGAATTCAGCTCCAGTGGATATCCTCGGGAGATGGAAAAGGATTATTCTGATTCCTGCAGTGAGCTGGAGGCGCCTCGCTGAGCTCCAGGATTTTATTCTTCACTAAATAAAAGAGGCTTTTCATTTAGTGCCCCTCTGGGCAGAAAAAAAATCACAAGAGGCGCTACCAAGGGGGGATTGGGTTCACTTGGCATAGCTAGGCAACTCTCACATTAAGGAACCTCATGACGGCTTAAGGCGTTGGTGCCTGCCCCACACTGAGATGCTGGCTGTGCTCCCACTGACCCATTTAGGTGGCATCTCGTGGGCGGCGGGAACAGAACCAAGGGATGGGACGGTGTATGCAGGAGAGGAGAAAAGGATGAACAGTAGCCAGCTTGAAAAGGGGCCAAGAAGTGAGGTGCACTGGGAGACACAGAAGAAATATGGGGGTAGAAGTCATAGGAGGACCAGGAATGGATTGGGGTGTGTGTGCAAAAATGTCCTATAAACCAGGACAGGGATCCTCAGGCTTTCATATCCGAAGTCCCACCCATTGCTTCTTCAAGGTCAGGGTCCCTCCTGGACAGAGGCAAAAATACCTTTTCCCAAGATGGCCACTCACATATTCCCAGGCATCCTCCCCTGATGGTTATAATTTATATTAATAAGAGACCTGAGGTTCAATAGTGTATCAGGGCCACTCCTAGATCACGTGAGAACCACTGCTCTGGGCACCCCCCTGCCTGGCGCTGCTCCACAGCTGCTGGCCACAACCCCCCGCAGAGGCGTGACCCAGGCATCCTCACGTTACTCGCTGGAATTAGCCCCCAGCCCCAAAACACAGGCTTGGCTGAAACAAAGCAACTGAAACCCAGGAGGAGGTGCATGAAAGGGGCCCAGAGAAAGGAGACCCCTTGCTGGATGGGGGGGGGGGGG